TCTTCTGCAGACTAAATCAGCCCAGTTCCCTCAGCTTCTCCTCAAGTCATGTTCCCTAGCCCCACAACCGTTTTCATTGCCCTCCTGTGGACTCTTTAATTTTGTCCACATCCTTTCTGCCGTGGGGGCCCACAGCTGGACACAGGACTCCAGATGTGGCCTCCCCAGTGCTGAACAGAGGGGAAGAATCACGTCCCTCAATCTGCTGGCAGCGCTCCTGCCGATGCAGCCCAGGGTGCTGGTCACCTTCTCAGCATCAAGGGCACACTGTTGGCTCCTGTTCAGCTTCTTGTCTTCTGTCCCCCCGGTCCTTTTCTGCAGACTTCTTTTGATTCTCATCAGAGACGGGTCAAAGATTGAGTGGGTCCTCGGGACTCAACACCCCTTCTCTCTCCTCTGCCTACTGACCCCTCACGAGCTTGCACTTCAGTTACCCATATTGCAATACTTTACTAATCGGACTAGTGCACTGGCCTTCTCTTTTTTTTAACATTTTGTTTTCTTCCAGGATATTTAATTCTCTTGCTCAGCTAACTGCCTACACACCTGCAAACCAGGTATTGGTCAGACGTTCAACTCGGAACAAATGTTCACATCAAGGATATTTGTAAACTACAGCAGGTGCTGTAGTTTGTCCGAAAACTGAATAACTTTCTTCCAGAAATGGAGGTCAACCCCTCACTATATTGTTGTTACGTGATGCTCAAGCATTAGAGTCTCCTCTCATGCTGGATTTGCACTGTTGCAACGCACTTGGAACTGCTAATTTTCACCCTTGCAAGGGAGATGAGTTTGCACTTAACTACTCTCCGTTCTCTCATATATATGACAGTAACTTAACATTTGGAGCAGGGAGCTGCACCGCTACAATAGCTTCCACTTAATTTCCACAGAAGGCTACTTTCTAATGCTAATTTCACGCTTGATAAATACGGTCCCGTGTTGCCTAGGCAACAAGTTACTGCACAAATATTCATTACTGCATTACTGGTTAATGAGTCTCTAGTGTTGTAAAAAAATTACAGCCAGAATTAAGCGGATTTATTCACTTTAATCTTAAGTCAGCCAGAACCGAAGAAACCAGCCTGCAAAATGTTTCCACATCTCCGCGGCATTTGCACTGCCACTCCTAACAGGAACGGTTGTAAAAGGCAGAAGGTAGGCAGGGGGCTCACTTGGAGACTAACTAGTTCGGCGGCATGAACTTTCCTAGGCAACAACCTACTTCATCGCATGCCGTTTGAAATGAAAGCCAGTACAAGTGTTTGTCTGTTGCTCTCGGCTCTTTCCTGTTTCTGTCTCTGGATGGGAGCCCTCATCGACTTCAGGGCTGCTGTCATGTTAGAAAACCATCGTTAAACGTTTCTGTTGTGAAAGACAGGCTGTGGAAAGGGTTGGAAATCTAGTGTTAGTCACTCAAGTCTACTTTCTGCATACTTTCTAGTTTGGGCGAGGAAAACCTTTCGGTTTGTTGTAGTCCACCAGGGCCAACCTTTTGGGCACAAATATTAGCCCCGCACCTTCTCCGAGTGCTGCTCAGATCCCCTTCTCCTGCCTGATCTGCTGCTCTGCTTTCTTCTTCCTTCTCTGTGCTCCCTGCCCAACTTGTTGCTTTGCGTTCTGCGTCCTGCCCTACCTGCACTGCATTACTTGTGGCGCCCGTGCTGCAGATCAGCTGCCCTTGGCGCGGTGCGTTTCAGCACCAGGTTCTCATACGCGTGCGTATCGCTGCAGGACGCGGATCGTGAACGGAGTTATTCTGGTAATACTTAAATGATGGTTAAATAGGAGGCCGTAACCAGCCTTGATATTGTTGCCTGGGCCTGAGGAACAGCATTCCCGATGCATTCATGTTAGGGTTGCATGGTCACAGGCCGGCTTTATATATAGCCCTTGCCTGTCCTGTTTCTCTATTAAGAAGAGCAGACCTGAGCCCCAGTTTGTAAAGGTGTCTGTTCAGTTTGATTCAGTTTGCTTGTAATTAAGAAATGCCCTGATACTTCAGTGCTCGAGAGAATAAAACTCTCCTGACTTTTCCTTTGGTGACTCAGCAGAGGAAACTCAACGCTTCCCTGCTGGGCGGAAGGCATTGTTAGCTTTAATTCATGTATTATTTTTCATTTAAAAGCTAATTTATTTTTCCCCCTTTAATCCTTGTCATTTGCATTATTCCAGCTGTAAAGCAACATGAAGGTTTGTTTCTGGCAAGCCACGCATGTCACCCTTGCCTTCAGAAATCAAAAGGGATGATTGTATAATGGCTGACAGCAAATTTGGCTCTGAAATATCATTAAACTAATGAACGTTTGGTTTTTCTCTGTCACAATACTCTTGACTTCAGAACGAAACCATTTAACATCTTACTGTGTCTAAATCCTGCATGCTTTGGGGTGTACTTGGTATCCGTCCTGTCCCATGTCACACATATGGATAGAATTAAATTGCAAATGCACGTATATGTAGTGGCCAATTTGTCTAAGTGCCAAACTCCGAGTTCAGGAACACTTCACGTTTTTCTTTTCCCAAGCTCAGACTCTAGCTACCTAAAATTGATGCAGGTTTTATGGTTGCTTTTTGCAAGAACCTATAACTCCCATAAGTGAAAGTGCAGCTGCTCATTAGATAAAAAGCTACCCCCTCCCCAAACCTTCATGGTTCTTTTTGTAATATTTTGCCCAATTTACTTTTGTTTTACAGAAGATTTTAATGTTTTGGGGCACAAAAATGAAAGGAAGACTATAGAAAAGTGAGCTGTTCCATATAGCAGATAGTAAATGGGACATGTAGACCTGGAAAAGAAGGTTTGCTAATATTTGAATCTTAACTAAAATGCCAAGAGGTTGACTTTTTGAGCATCCTAGCCCTTTCAACTTGTGTACTGAGTAGGGAGGACTGTAGTTTTAAAAACATGCCTGGTTCCTGCACGCTGCTTTTTTATAACTAATAACTCTCCCCACTCCTTTAAAACATAGGCTTTTAAAATCCAAACTATGTGCTGTGGTACCACACTTAGTTGCAATGTCTGCCCTACTTGTTTCAGACCGTGGATCTCATTTGGCTCTTCCATAGTTTCTTGCTAAGCATCTCAAGCAGTGGTTGGCAGCCTTTTTAGGAAGTGGGCTAAATTGACCCAGCTCAGGTCAGGGTGGACCTGTGTCCTGTGGTGGTGGCACGGGGAAGCCCTGCAAATGAAGCTCCATCTCTGTGAACCAGATCAAGTGGTGCCAGGGCTGCAGGTCGCCAACCCCTGGTCTCAAGAGTGTTCTTCCTAGCGGCAGTGCCATATCTGTGCTGTGTGTCTGAGGTTGCATTTTTTTCCTTTATCTTTTGAAGGCTGCATATTCAGCAGACCAACAAGTCACTGAGGGCTGAAAGCAAGAGAGCAGGTATAGCGGAAAGCTTGTTGTGCATGGTTTCCCATCGGTCCAGACATGGCTGCCAGGGTGAAGTTCATGATTGCACCATGATGCAAAGAACTTGTTTAGCACAGCAGCGAAATGAAGGCACGATTATTGGTGTCTTCTATTAGCAGAAATAATAAGGTAAATGAAGGGAACGGTTTCTTTCTTGGAAATGCCAGCTCATAATTGTTGTCTTGGCGGTCCTTCCTAAGCTGTTGGCCTGCTCTGCACCTGGAGAGCCAGGCACGCTGTGCAAGTCCCATGAGGGAGCAGCTGGCTGAGGAGGAGGTAGGTCTCTTGTCAATTATTCCGGTCCTCACGAGAGGAGGCTGCAATACTCTTTTGCTTGTGTCAATACATGTCTTGAAAGGTGGGGCCTGTTAGGTAGGTAAGGTCCAAAATGTGTGATGCGGATGTCAGGTTTTTGCAACATCTTTACGAATCATTTGATACCCTTTCTCCTGGGATTGATTTATTTTAGCTTTTGATGTAAAATACAGCTGGTATGGTACTGGCAGTCTGGGCTAGTCTTCACAGTTCTTCCCTTCACAGGAAAGGGTGGAAACTAATGGCAAAAATAATGAGAACTGTGTCCATTAAAACTGCAAATGCTCTTAATGCGATGGTCAGTGAAAGAGCAGGGAGGAGGATGGGATAAAGCAGTAGTGTAGAATGGGAAAGCTGGACTTGGCATGCGTGGTTTTACAACAGTGTCATGAGGGCCTTGCTTCTCCTTAAAAGACATAGTTTGATTTGATTGTTGCATCTTTAAGAACCTGTTATTTCTTCTTGGCTCTAAAAAATGCTGTCAAACTTTGCGGGCTGCTGTGTTCTTGTAGCTGGTCTACCAAGTGGCACCTTCTGACTTGAGTGTAATGTTTCCTGAGCAGCGTAGTTGAAGGAGCTCCTGGCTTCTCTCTGCCAAGGAGCTGACCTTTTTGTGCAGAGTGAAATCTGCCGTAGGATGGGGAGAAGAAAAGGCAAATGACTAAAACCCCCTTGAAACTGGTTCAGAGTCTTTAATTGAAGAGTAGAATAACAAAAAGCAACTTGATGCTTGCAGGCTTGTTCCAGCACTACAAACATGGAGCCGGACTGAATGAGACCGGAGCGGTGCATGTAACAAATGCAGGAGCTCTCCGTAGCATACATTGAGTGCATAGAAATACTATAGCTCCACATCCATTTACTCCAGACGCACAAGTCTGCTCCAGGTAGATACTTTAGGTGTTATTTATTGGCTCCCTTACCCAGACAAAAGTGCTTCTCTAGCATTCACAAACATGAAAAATCTGCTCAAACATCAAGGCCCGAGGTCCTGAGCAACCTGATTTTTGTCAGAGTCCTGAAGAATGAAGCAGCTGTGCGTGGGCTGGGGTGAGAAGGGAAAGGAGAGTTCAAACAGTCAGAAATGCTGCACCAAGACTTCAGGTGATCTTGACCTAAGGGTTTTCTATACCATTGGGCAATATTAATATCAATGCTTAATGTAAATTAGGGTAGGCTGGTCTTCCAGGTGGTGGAAAAATTGGAGTCATTGGAGGATTTCTACAGAAAGCAGTCACAAGGCTGGGTTAATACAACACCTGATCTTAGCCCAAAAGCCCGAGAAGCATGTATCTACAGCCTAACAACACAAGCTTAACTGCTGATTTAGCCTGCTTCTGTCAAGGCACTTTCACGTCATCCACATCTCCTTGGGGCTTTCCTTCTGCCAGATTTTTTTTAACCCAGTTGGAGCAAGTTATGCAGAGAGGTGGTACAAGCTTCATCCTTGGAGGTGTTTAAGACCCAGCTAGACAAAGCCTTGGCTGGGATGATGTAGTTGGGAATGGTCCTGCTTTGAGCAGGGGGTTGGACCACTTGTGACCTCCTGAGGTCCTTTTGAACCCTAATTTTCTGTGATTCTGTGATGCTGCTTTCAGTGGGTTCCTAACGAGCATCTGGTTCTGTGGAGGCTGTTAGCTGGGTTAGAGCTAGGGTTAGGGCTTGTTCTGTCCTAGACTGATATCACTGCTTCCAGCTGTGTTTTCCACAGCTGCATTCTTAGCTCCTTAGCCAAGCTAAGATTCAAGTGGTCCTTAAAAAACCTTTAAAGCCATTTATCCTTCAAGCTGGGTAGCAGCCAGTGCTCACCATACCTGCTCAACAAAGTGCCTGATTCCCTTGCTCCATGTGCTGTATAGAATTTGAATACTGAAGATCTCTCCTTGCTCAGCTGGGTTGCTGTGAAGTCATTGTGCCAATCTACATCGTGTTTGTAGTTTTCCACTTGGAGTATAACTTCTAAAACTAACCGAGTTGGGATTGCATTTAAAAATTGCAAGCTTATCTGCAGCAGGTGAGGATGCGTGGTCAGTAGTACCAGTAGCAAACAAATATATGAAGGCCTCTGCTCTTTTTTTTTATGAGATCATTCCCATCCAGACTGACCAAGGTCTGGTCCTCACTTAAAAAAAAAAAAAAAAAAAAAAAAAAAAAATTGTCCTAACCTTGGGGGGGTGGGGCACGAGCTTCACCGTACCCACCTCCTCCCGCGTCGGAACTACTTTCCTGTCACTAAGAGTCGATCACCTGAGGTCTGCACACATCTGGTCCGCCTGCCACGACTTTGATTGTATTCCAGTTCAGTATTATTAATCTGACACTTGTCAGTCCAAAAGTGAGACTCCTGGACTCTCGGGGTCCCGCATCGATGAGGGCTCTGCCACCCCTAGACCCTCGCCCGTACCACCGGTCTGATTGCTTATCGGGGTA